AATAGGATTTTTAAAAGGCATGGATTCATAGTACTGCAAATAAAATTCTGTGGTACTAATACCCCCCTCCCACGCCCCCATGGCTACTGGCCCATAATAGGATTTTTAAAAGGCATGGATTCATAGTACTGCAAATAAAATTCTGTGGTACTAATACCCCCCTCCCACGCCCCCNAATAGGATTTTTAAAAGGCATGGATTCATAGTACTGCAAATAAAATTCTGTGGTACTAATACCCCCCTCCCACGCCCCCTGGCTACTGGCCCATAATAGGATTTTTAAAAGGCATGGATTCATAGTACTGCAAATAGAATTCTGTGGTACTAATACCCCCCTCCCACGCCCCTTGGTAAATTTTCTTTCGTGACCGAAAGGAACTTCATGTAGTCATAACATAATCAGTTAGTACTRGATAAAATAGTATTAGTAGACATACATGGAGGTCCTTGGCGTTGCCAATAACCTTAACACTAGGTTATTTTGCCGTAAAGAAACAACCGCCATTTCTTCGTGAATGTTTTATGTGATGCTGTTGTCGTGCCAGAAACTGTCTGTGTTATGCAGGGTTATATCTCCACTATTACTCAATTCTTGTTCCCTTCTTTCCTATTTAAAGGAGTGACCTTAAATAACTCATAACCTCTACCCCTCCCATCGTCACGTGACTAATAGCCTTTGTCATGGTGAAAGGAAAACTTTTCTGTCGAACAAACAAAACATCTTTGCGTGTTGTGTTTTTATCAAGGACTCAAACATCTGTGCCGAAATACTCATGCGGACAGAATAATATTCAACTGCGGGAAAGAAAACTGAAAATATTGGTTAAAATTTTTAAGACGAAATGGGACATACCTAATTACATTAGAATAATATTTCATTTATTGAATTTCATTTTTATTTATTGAATCAAAATAGTTTCGTCGCGATCACTTGTTAAGTGAAAGCATAAGATAGAAATTATAATTYAGTGTTAGCTGGAAAGAAAATCAAATGTCAAATGCAAATAAGTGTGTTTTCTATGATGAAATTAATGGCATTTAGTAAAATCGAATCTAATCGATCGTGCAACAACAAAAACTACTACGTAAGATTAATCCATACTGTAATTATTAAGTACGAAACGAAAATAGTCATAAAAATCTTATAGCAATTTTTAAGCAACGAAGATCTTTCTCCTCTYATAAATATTCCTAATCGTTCTTTTATCAACCTAGAAAGAAAATAAAAAYCTTACTGTTGTGTTTTTAATCAACGAAGCGGTCTTTGTCCTCTCATAATTATCCTTAATCGTTATTTTATCATCGTAGAAGAAATATGTGGTTAACCAGCGACTTACCCAGTTGATACTTGAAAGTTTCTCCTCGACTAAAAGTCACGAATGCTCTCCGAATTYCCTCTGTCTTGACCTGCGTTCTCAATCAGGTTAGTCTAATGAGCTAAACTAAGAAAGTCGTTGGTTTCAGTTTCTTATTGTTTTATGTATAGCTTCCGGCAGATAGAAGAATGCCAAAGATTGACAGTGAATAGGTTGTCTAACGAACCGACATGTCGTAACCCAACAAAAAGAAATATTTTCATTTGATTCCCTAAATTACGAAACTAAGACAAAATGTTTAAATTTTAAATTTTTATAACTTCATCGAGCATTCCGCTGTAGATAATGGTGATTATTGACCGTTATTTTATTTACAGAAAAGCTTATAATCGGTATAAATGGACGTCATTAATTAAGTCTCTAATGCCGTTTGGAGGTTTTAACTAAATAATCAAGCGCTAATCTTGGAAAACAGAAAAGTCAAACGTTCTTGAAGAAAAAATATTTGAAGAGTGTGTCTGTATAGGCAAGCCCCGAGCAACTGACAAGACCTGCTAGCTACCATATTTACATGATTAGTTCGAATCCCTAAAGCACCTTTTTTCTTCTCAAAGAATATAAGCATTCTTTTGTCGCCGAATTTATTTGAAATTAGGAAGTCGTCAAAATTGAAACACGTTGATGGAATTTTAGGGGAAATTGTCCTGTTATTTATGCGTTATTTTATATTAGCGTTGTAATATATCCGACTTAAAACGTTTTTTCCTTGCGGATAATGCTTACCAGAGTTCTACCAGTGAGTAGGTCCTCGCCGTCTCTATCAAACTAGTGGTCTAGTCCGCCTATACGTCCAGCAGTAATGGTTTTTGGTTCGCAAGTGGTTAGGGCTTAAAAGGGTGCACCCATGTTTGGAYTTAATATTGAAATCTATACGCGCATCAGTTGAACCAGCGTCACGAAGTGCGTCAGTTGGGGTAGGGTTAGACGACGTAACGTGCTACCTGATAGGGAAAATCCCATCAAAATACAAGACGTCTGCTATCTCCCCCACAGGCATTAAAAAGTGCTGAAAAACTATAGACAAAAAATGACAGAGACGCCAAGGTGTACCCTGCATGTCTCCCAAACACTTATCTGAACTAAAAACAAAAATATTTTTTGAATAAATATTTTCCTATGGCTATCTAGTCGKATTATTTTTGATCTATTCTTAGAGGAGATATTATGTTTCGGTTTATAAGAAAAAGGGGTGCTGCCGATATGATCACATGATATTTGGTGGATATTTCAGTATTCTAATTCAGTTTTCATTGACGTAAACGTTTCCAGGATGGGCAATACATACAGCAAGAGTGCGAACATGTTCGGGGAAAAAATCTCAAAAGGCTCCCGCAACCAATTTTTCTTGAACGCGTTTTCTAGAGTTCGAGTTAATGTAGTGCAGTTTCGTGCAGTATAGTGGATCATAGGTCGTGAAAGTATAAGGTATTGGAACATATCGCACTATAGAGGCCCA